CTTAAAGCTTGGATCACAACTGCTGGGAAGCGAGAACGGTTCTCTCAGTGGGTGGTCTCGGGAATACTCTCTCAATTGATTAGAGATGTATATGAGACCTGTAACATCATTTAGAACCATTATGCGGCGTGGTTATGCGGTAGTGCTAACCCCAAGTGCACCCTGCTAGGTGAAGGGTTGCCCCCAAGGTATCGGTATCTGCAGCACTAGTCTGAAGAGCTATGGGTAGTTCCTCTTTGGTAGATGACAGGCAGTGTACCCAGCCATGTTATTAGTATGGTTGCAGATGCTGTCGCTTTAAGGGAAACAAAGGAGTAGTATCATGTCGTATACTGGTAATGTCTATTTAAGGCAGAGTGCTAAAGCCAGACACATAAACCCCCTTCTGTTACAGTCCATACAACCCCTTGTATAATGCCCAACAGGGCTAGCATGATACTTGCGGTTGGTGACAGGGGTCTCCCACAGCTGGATGATGTGGGTCCTGGTGGTGGTCGGAGGTCCCGACTGAGTGGAGGTGTGCAGGTTGCTGTGGTTCACTGACTTTAGCTCCGGTCGAGTGCAGATAGTGAACAGTCCGCGTTCACTGTTACAAACAGTAGGACGCCGACTGTTCGTATGATCGCGGCTTAAGGAGGCCGCGTCGCGTGCGCCGGGGGGAGGAGCTGACGGACGCCGTGCGCCGGAGGGAGCCGGCTCGCAGCCCCGGGACGGGAACGAGTGAGTTTCTTACACCTGGATTGATAGTCTTGCTTTCCGATCTTCATGGCAGTCCAAAAGAGCAAAAGTAGCGTCGTATGGGTCCCGTTTGGCCGGAGCTCTCAACTCAGGCTGCCATCAACCTCACGGTGCAGACCACTCCCCCCCTCGATCAACTCTTGATCCTATTATCAAGGGTGCTACTGGTGGCAAAAGCACCCATCTTCCTTGGTGGAAGAAATCTAAAGAACAGACTCAAGTTTTCTCCCTTTTTATCTGTTAAGAAACTTTACTTTATTTCTCCACTCAAGACCCTCTACACCAGTCCACCTGCAAGGTCTGTGGCTCAGAGGCTGCCAGATCCTCAGAAAAGCCAAGTTGTCCTCAGCTTGGTGGTTTAAGAATCTGGCTTTAAAATCAAAGTCCTTCCTTCCCGCCTTTTGGAAGATCCTCATGACTGATGCCAGCCTGCCGTGCTGGGGAGGAGTCCTGGGCACCACGTCAGTGCAGGGAACTGGGTCGTCAGAGGAATTTTAACTCTTCACCAATATCCTGGAATTTTGGGCTTTTGGCTGTGCTTGCAGCATTGGACCATAAAGCTAGAAGGTCATCTGGTCTGGATTCAGTCAGTCCAGATTTTACTTTTTACGTTTTTGAAGAAAAAAAAAAGAAATATAGCCAAAGACCTACTTATATGCACGGCATGAAGGATATGCAGGAAATGACAGGAGGGTTCCAGCAATATGTCACAGCTAAAATGTAACAGCCGTCAGAGCAGTGGCTGGATCTGTTTAGGGATTTTGACCATGGTTTGACAAAGTAAAATTACAACCAGGAATTAGGTGTAGAGCAGGACCCATGAGTGAGAACAGAACTCTGGAAAGGGGCTCTATCCGCTTGTTGGTTGGGTTTTTTAAAGACGGGTGCATCTTCCACCGTTTCCGTTAAGGTGAGACACAACCTAGATCCACAGTGGGAACTGACCACTTCTAAACAAAATCCACCCCAAACCGGTATAACACTATCTGGTGCTTCCAATCCCCACAAAAAACGGCAGCAGAGGATACATCCCTGAGTGTGGAGGATGCACGAGGAACACTTCACCCAAAAGGTGAGTCAACCTACAGTGCTACAGTGTTAACCCCTTCTATATCAAAAACCAGCGGGAATGGGAAGAATGGCATCCAGTGACCAACGAAAATAAAAGTAGCTTTGGTTGCCCCTTCCGCCTGAGAGAGTTTTGAAGGTAGCGTAAACACCGCTCCACAAATAGCTCCAAAACAGAGTCTGGAATGGTCCCCAAAAATAACTCGCTGCCCGAATGTTGCTTCCATGCTATTAAAGGAGCAATCCCGTCCAGTGGGCCTGGATGCGGTACTTCAAAAGAAGGTGGCAGTATAACCCCAAGTTTAAAATTATTCCTGTGTCCCTCAATGGACAAGGAAAAATGTAATGTTTTCCGTTTGTTAGGTTATAATAAAAATCATAAATATGAATATTAGAGCAGTGTCCCAAATAAAAACCTTTTCTTTACTTGCTGTCCAGAGCAATTTCTTACTATTTGCACACACACATAAAAATATACAATTTTTTGGTAGAAAAAAAAGCTTCAAACCCCCAAACAATTAAGTATTGTAAGCAGAGGCCCTGTAGGAAAAAAAATGCTAGTTGCAATTTTTTATGTTGCACGGTATTTGCGCAAATGTTTATCAAACCAGTATTTTTAGGATACAATACACTAAAATGAAATTTGGTGCACAGAAATGGAATATAATACCCAATGTTTTGGTAAAAGATGGTGTCACGTCCCATCCCGCCCTTGCCCGCCGCCAGGCGGCGCGCACAAGCGGGAAATCAGCCTGGAATGTAAACAGATGTTTGATCTCCTCTTCGGAATGCAGGAAATGATGTGTATTACATCACTTCCACATTCCTCTGTCACTCTCCGGTACAGAAACCGGAGAGAAGCAGGTGCTTGCTTCATCAGCTTCTCTGGGGGTCCCTAGGTGACATTAGGGGGTCTTAAAGACCCCTAATGGCTCTATAAAGAGGACCTGTCACTAAAAATTGGCTATCACAAAGGGGTCTTGTTAGTCCCCTATGAGAGCAATAAAGTTAAGTAGGGGAAAAAAAGGTGTAAAAGAAAAGGTTACAAAAAAACATTAAAAAATGAAGTCGCATATAAAAGTAATAAAAAAATAAAATAATTTAAAGTGCCCCGCCCCCCACATACACATGTAAACATGCGTCGAATGCGCCTACATGCGGAAACGACGTTTGCATCCATTACGCCGCACATGTTACATATCGCCGCGAACGTCGCAGTGAGAGCAAAAATTTTGGGGCCATCAATCACATATAACACTAAAATGATGAGCAGTAAAAGCTTTCAAAGCGTCGCCTATGAGCAATTTTGGGTATGGTAGGTTTTGCGAGTTTGCGGGCGCACGCAATTTTTAAACTTGACATGTTTGGTGTCTATTTACCCGACGTGACCCCGTGTTTTATATGTTGCCATAAATTTGGGTAATAATAATTGTTTTATAACATAGGGAAAACAGTTTTTTCCGAAATTTTCAGTACTTTTTTCATTATATAGTAAAAAATAAAACCAGCAGTGGTGATTAAATACCACCAAAAGAAAGCTCTATTTGTCCCCAAAAAATGGTATAAAATTAATTTCAGTGCATCGTTGTATGACGGAATAAATGTCAGTCAAAGTACCGCAGCGCTGAATACTGAAAAATGGCCTGGACAGAAAGGGGGTGTAAACACCCCGGTCAACAAGTGGTTAAACTTTTTTTTTTACACTAACCTTATTGCTATCACATAGGTGACTAAAGTCCCCTTTGTAATAGCAGATAGGGTGTGATAGGTCCTCTTTATGGATAGCTTGGGGGACTTTTAGACCCCTAATGTAACCTAGGGCCCCCAAAGAAGCTGAGGAAGCAGAGATTTGCTTCCCCAGCTTCTCCTAGCTCTACGAGCCGGAGAATATAAACACTGACAGCAGAAGTGATGTAATGCACATCATTTTCAGGTCAAGTAATCGGAGGAGAGGTCAACAGCTGGAAGCCGCTGAATCTCTCTCCGGTTTTTACCGGAAGACCCGTCGTGCCCGTCCCTGCATGGGGGACAGCAGAGCCCAGGGAAGTCGATGGCGGCCCCTGGCGGTGGTGAGGGTTAGGACACAGTGTTGCACCGTACAACGATCCGGCGGCTGTATAGACGCTAGATCGCTGGTACATTTAACAGTCATTGCCGGCTTTTTGAAATGACAACAAGAACATGGCTGCAGCAGATTTAACCACTTCTGTGGGCCGCCGTATATATACACGTATTGCGGCCCGGAAGTGGTTAACCAGAACTTTGCCTACCAACATTTTTTAAAGGTATTAGGTTAAAGTGGGCATGCCCATGCATAAGCAGTTCTCTGAAATATTTAACTTTGGTCTTTAGTTCATACTGAAAAGTAGCATTGCTCTTCTTGGTATGCTAGGATGCCTAGAGATGTCTGTTCCTAAAGCCTTATAGCTATATATCTGGAGTGTGAGATGTAATTTACTGCTGCCTATGAATACTAGTCTTAGGCAATTTAAAGTGAGATTTAGTAATGTCATTATGGAGGGCTGCTCAATGTTCTGCTTGCATGAGGCTCCGACACGAGGAAGCAAAGGCCTGCCTCTAACAAAATGGCTGCCTCCACATAGACAAATGGTGCAGAACAAGGCATGGCAAGCCAGTAATGAGTAAAAGGTCTGCTCCAAGTGGACCACAGACAATAATGGAGGCTAGTCATCTGCTCTTTGTCAGCCTTTTTTGGGCACATTTTCAAGTTCAGTTCCTCTTTAACCTGAAGCTGCTGTATTTGGTCTGGGCATGTAGGGGTTAAGGTGCACCACCAGCCAAACAGCTGAATACACAGTTAAAATATAAATATGTAAACTTGTGTATATATATTTAAAACCCTTGTAATTATATTCAGCCACTCTTGTCATCCGTACACCCCTTCCACACTGCATAGCCAGCAGTCCAAATACTCTTATCTTTGCTGCCTTCTGATGGGACCATATATGGATGTGCATCCCTCCCCCGTCAAGTTGTGCTTCTCCATAGTTTACTTAAACACTCAAAGTGCTTGGTAATTGAATGCAGATGAGATTGGATTGTGCTGCACAGTTCTGGCAATCTGATGGCCTTTTGCAGCAAAGGCTTCCAATGGCACAGGGAATTATGGGAAGAAATATGAAGATATCGGATAGTTATACTTTGTTTTTTACCTTGCTGATGTTGAATTTCAGATTCGAGAAAGACGAGCTCTGCAACAGTTCAGTCACCCCAATCAGTTGGTCGCCAATCGCAACCTCCCCAGATGAACTATCTTCAGTCATCTGCACCTGTAGGACTTTCTTCTCAGGCTACCATACATGTTTTACCAACAGGTACTGTCTTTACACTTTGTTCTACCTAGAGCAGGGGTGCCCTCAATTTTTGTGTTAAGATCTACTTTTCAAATGACGAGCTACATGAGATCTACCAACAAAAAAAAACCCTCCCTCGCTCTCTCTCTCGCCTTGCTCTCTCTCCTAGCTGTCTCTCCTCTCACATCCTCCTGGCTGTCATTCCTCGTTTTCTCTCTTGGCTGTCTCTCCTTGCTCTCTCTCCTTGCTCTCTCTCCTTGCTCTCTCTCCTTGCTCTCTCTCCTTGCTCTCTCTCCTAGCTGTCTCTCCTAGCTGTCTCTCCTCTCACATCCTCCTGGCTGTCTCTCCTTGCTGTCTCTCCCAGCTGTCTCTCCCAGCTCTCTCTCCTTGCTCTTTCTCCTAGCTCCCTGGCTGTCTCTCCTTGCTCATCCTCCTGGCTGTCTCTCCTTGCTCATCCTCCTGGCTGTCTCTCCTTGCTCATCCTCCTGGCTCACCTTGCTGTATTTTGCAAACAGTGAAGTGCAACAGGCTGTGTAAACTAATATTCTTTGATGTAATACATAGCACTTCAACCACCAGTATCCACCAGAAAGGTGTCAGGGAGCTGGGCTCAGCAGACTCAGGCTAATAGGTAATAATGTGTGCACAGCTAAATAAATATACCAACATGGAATAAAGGGGCCGCCATTCGCACCCTTCGTGATCTACCAGCATCAGCTTTGAGAGCTACTGGTAGATCACGATCTACCTTATGGGCACCCCTGACCTAGAGTGAGACTTCACTTTTGTTACATTATATCTGTTGCAAAAAGTTGTTCTGTAGACAAGCTGTCCTGATTTTCTACTTACAAGTTGAAAGATGTGTTCTCTAATCACATGATCAATCCTGGTATGTAATCAGACGAAATCTGTAAGGTAAACATAGAGCAATTTATTTCAGCAGAAAATTAGAAGTGGGACAGCAGAAGACAGTGGTCTATCGAGTAACCTTTTTACTGAGTGAAGATTCACTTATTGTTAACTCACTTACTGCTTCTGTTGAACATCTTTTTAAGCTTCAACTGCTTTTTTTTTTTTTTTTAAGAGAAATGCGTTATAACATTTAGTTTTAGGTTGGGTTCACACCTAGGCGTATTGAATATGCGCGTTTTTCGCACCGCAATTCGCTGTAAAAAAAACGCACGAAAAACACGCGTTTCCGAGGGCTACTTGGCTGTATCCCAATGGAAACGCCCGACCAAAATGCCCCAAAGAAGTACATGTACTTCTTTGGGCGTAGGGCGGTTTCCCACGCGTTCGTACTCACGGAAAACCGCCCAGATGGGAACCATGCACATTGAAAATAATGGCATTTCCCTGTTTGAGCGTTTTTCCGCGAGTACAAAAGCACGGAAAAACGCCCAGGTGTGAACCCAGCCTGAAACATTCCTTCTAGTTTGAGGTAATTCATTTTGTGTTCTTACAATTTTACGTTTTCTTGGTATGTTCTCTACACTGTGTGTATTAAAATGTATTGTTTTGCTATGGTTGCAGAGAAACCTTTTACATTTTTCTGGCGGATTTAGAAATAAATAACTGACTCCAATTGCAATAAAATAACTTAAAAAAAAAATAACTTAAAGTAACACTAATTTACAGCATCTAGGGGTTGCAATTGTTAGTCAACGTTTTAATTTAAAGGAATGGGTCAAGGCTATTTACATATCACAATGTTAAGGTCTCTGGACTGAGGACATGTGTTAATTACACTTTCTTCTGTCGTCTCTAACTGATCTGCAGTTTCAAAATGCCAGTAGCAAAGTTTATTAGTAATTAGTGTCCCTGCAGAGTTTGTGGGATCACGCTACTACTGTAACTGTTGGCAGGATAGATCCAAGGTACACAGCATGCAGACACTACCATCTGACACGCCCAGAAGTGTTGGATGCTGACCCTTGTAGTATGAGTTGCCACAGATACTCGCTGTACTTTTTTTTTTTTTTTTTTTTTAACTATGTATCAATATTTTTAATATTGCTGGATCAATGGACATCAAAGACATGCAGAGCTTGCAAAACCGAAATCTACAGTTTTTTTTTTTTGTTTTTTTTCTTTTTTGTTTTTTTTTTCCAGCTCAGACAACTGTTAATGTGACTCAGCGGCCTGTTACTCAAACGGCAACAAGGGCCTCGGCTCCTCGAGCACCACATATGGTTTACACTACAACTGCATTACCCACCATTCCTGCCCAGACACCTGTACGTAACACTGTCATGCAAAGTCAGAACCTACGGCAGATGACCCCACAAGCAGGAGGTAAGACTTAACATATCATATAGGATAAGGAGAAGGAATATTTACCTTTTTATCTAAATGTGGTCAGAAAAATGATTTAAGCGATTCAAAATTGGCCAGCACAAATTTGAAGTTGCTAGATTTGCAAACAACTTTGGATTTTCATACCCTAGTATTTATTTCCCAAATTTAATAGTTATACATCCTGTAGATATCGTTCTACACATGTACCCGTGTATAATTTGCTATCTTTTAGGTACAAGGGACACAGACACTATTTTGAGCCGAACAGCATTTCCCCCAAAAAGTGGAGGTTCAGTGCGTTCCGGCCAGAATGTACTGCCTCGCATTGTGGTCGCCTCACTTTTTAGTGGGGCAGGAGGGGGTGTGGCGGGTCATTGAAGTGAATGGCACCGCCGCCACGCCCTCCGGCCGCAATGCGATCGCCCGCACAGGATCGCAAGGCACATTGTGCCTGCGGTCCGTTGCGATCAGAATAGTGCTTGCAGCATTTTGTGCCTTGCGATCCCATGCGATCGCATTGCGGCCGGAGGGCGTGGCTACCGTGCCATTCACTTCAATGGCCCACCACGCCCCCTCCTGCCCCACCAGAAAGTGATCAGGCCGCAATGCGAGGCAGTGTGTTCTGGCCAGAATCGGGCCGGAACGCACCAACTGGTGTGAACGGCCCTCATACTGCACATGTGCTCTGCAGCCCAATTATTTGCTATGGGAAAATCGTACACCGAGCAGCCAACTAAGCTCGCCACGAGTACGGCTTTACCATAGGAATGTCAGCAAACGGCCAATTTTTGGAGGACAACCCAACTCAGAGCAGGGTTGAAGGTGAATATAAAACCAGGTGGGCAGCATGGGATGGTGGGGGGTACTTTGAAGTGAACCTGTGCACAGATCATGCGCACCAAAGTATTTGACATATTCTGAAAAAGCAATAAACACACTTTAAAATGAGCCCTTAGTCACCTGTATCTATAAGGATTGGGGAGAAATTCATTTTCAAATATCACAACGGCGGCAGTAAAATCTTGGCTTTTTAGACCATCTTGAAGACTGCCGGCCCTCAAATGTAAACCACCAGCAGGTGTTTCCAAGCTGTTAAAGCAACCAAAACTGGTCTTTATAGTCTTGTGTTTTTTTGAGAATGAATACCTTCACATTATGTAAATAGTTTTATTTCCATAGTCTGGCCACAGGTGCACTTTAAGATGTACCCCTGCAAAATGAATCTAAAAAAATGATCTCCCTGGTTATATACATTCACTTTACCTATGGAGGTAGGATAATAGTAGCAACTAATCTACAAATCACTACATTTAGTTAATTAACCGCTCTTGAATCTAACGGGGTGTCCAAAAAAGTCCTGTTGGCCCAATTGTCTTCAGCCCCACATGGGTCGGGTGCGCATACGTCCAAAAACGACGATTGCGCCCATTACGCCGCACATGTTACATATCACCTTGAACATCACAGCGCGAGCAATAATGAGTGGTAAAAGCTTTTAAAGCATCGCCTATGGCCAGTTTTCAGTATGGTAGTTTTTTGCAATTTCGCGGGTGTGCGGAATTTTAAGGCTTGACATGTTTGGTGTTTTTTCAACCGACGTGACCCCGTCTTTTATATTTTTCCAAAAAATGTGGTAATGTATTGTAACATGGTGTAAACTTTTATTTTTTTACATTTTCGGTAATTTTTCCTTAATATGGTAAGAAAAAAAAACCCCAGTTGTGATTAAATACCACCAAACGAAAGTTCCATCTGTCAGCAAAAAATTGTATAAATGTTGTTTTCAGTACAGCATTGCATGACTGAATAAATGTAAGTCAAAGTACCGCAGCTCTAAATACTGAGAAATGGCCTGGACAGGAAGGGGGTGTAAACACCTGGTCTTTAAGTTGTTAAGGGATCACAAGTGTGTAAACAGAAAGTCATGTTATAAGCTATTTTTAAGTTTAACTACAATAGCCCCATTTATTTTTACAGTAAAAATTTTATACTTTCCCTTCAATTTTCTAACCTAGAGTCAAAAGATTCTCAAGGTGTGCATAAATTAAATAAAAGGCAAAAAGAACATAAACAGCGCTCTCGGATGGGGTAGGCTAACTGACAAACATGTGTGCAGCCCTGGAAACAGGAGGAGAACCTGTGGATGCAATTTGACAAAGGAACACAGAGGGCGCAACAGCAAACACAAAAAAATGAAAATAAAAATAAAGTACTGGCTAGTTGGACTGTAATGTGTATAACAAACAGGGGATCAGATGTGATAGTAAAAAATCACTGGCGAAGAATCAATGCGATATCACTTACATGTGGATCCAGGGACCGGAAGATGGACGGCCTGTGAAGAGGATCGGGACCCTCGTGGTGTCTGTCTGGATCTGATTAGTATATTGACTGGGGAGGTTCATCCATCGGAAGGGAATGATGTGAGCGGAGAGAGTTGGCTCTGTCCGTGATGCCGCTGGGAGGATGTGGACTCCGGGCGGTGTGGAGGAGAACCAGGAGGGACAGACCAATATCGAGTGCAGCACGGGCTGTTGTGACCGCAGTTGTGGATGTCAGTGCTGGGTTTTGGCCAGGTCAGCTGTGGGCAGTGTGCGCCAGGTAGTCAGATCAGTGAGGAGGTGGGGATCCGGGTAGTCGGATCAGTGAGGAGGATCTTTGATAAATTAAATAAAATCATGTTATCCAATTTGGCTGTGCAGCCATCATTAAGATGAGCATATTCTTCTCAAAATCTGTTGCATAATGGAGTCGATTCCATTAACCTTATTGATGTGACACTTGCAGTTTTTAAAATAATTTGGGTTAACAAATCAAACTTACCTGTATTCATGCTCTGAAACCTAAAGGAAGAAAGGGCCTCCCTTGCATTTTCTGGCATGTTTATTAACCTAAATGAAACTCTAAATTTACTTTTAGTAACAACAAATTTTCAACAGATATTTGTTTTTATATATATATATATTTAGGTGTGCCTGTAAGAATGCCACAAACAACTGCATATGTAGTAAATAATGGAATACCTATGGGTTCTGGACCACAGCTCACTGTACATCATCGCCCACCACAAGTAAGTTAACACAACTTGACTGCTCTTCTGTTTTGCGAATAAGACAACTGTTGTGACTTAAAGCTGTTAAAAATTATTCACTGAACTGTATATGTCAGGTCTTCTGGCTATTCCAAATTGTTGAATGCCATGCAATTGAATTATAAAAAAACAAATATCTCCTAATTATATAAAATCTGTGCTGGATTTTATTAGATCATCAATCCTGTGGAGCATACCATTTTGAACCTCACCAGGTGTTCAGTAGTACATTCACCCGTAAGCTTATTCATAGAGGTAACAAATGCAGACCAGTATAATTTAAATGTGTTCAAAAACTCCACCCTACACAGATGCAGGAAGCAATGCTCACTGATGGATAGGTTAACTCTAAACTGGCTGGTGTATAAGGGTCAGCAGAGCACAAAGAAACTACCAATCCCATCATACATATTATAATCTCCATACCAACAATACCAAATAAAGTCAGATGTTTGGTGATATTGAGTTAAAATATCTGACTTTATTTGGTATTGTTGGTATGGAGATTATAATATGTATGATGGGATTGGTAGTGTATTTGTGCTCTACTGATCCTTATACGCCAGCCAGTTTAGAGTTAACCTATCCATCAGAGAGCATTGCTTCCTGCATCTGTGTAGGGTGGAATTTTTTAACACATTTAAGTGAGATACTGGTCTGCATTTGTTACCTCTATGAATAAGCCTACGGGTGAAACATGTGAGAGGTTGTAGCTGGTTGGGGGTGTGCAGTGCTGGCCTTTGTTGCTTTATTAAAATTCACAGCAAATCCAGTATAACCGTGAATAAAAGTGTATAAAGTCTGAAGTATTGGAATTCTCTGGATGGTGGGGTCTGTTCGGATACTACTACATTCCAAGGTGGAGACGCACCTATTAGACCAGCACCTGGGGAATCCTGATGGCGGCTAAGGAATTGGAGCAGTGAGATTTCCTTTGGCATCTGTGCTGGTTATCACCAGAGGCATGACACTTAAATCAGTGGGTTTAGTTTTGCTTTAAATAAACCAACTGTAGGTCGGTGTATATTTTAGATCTGTAGGATACTTTTTAATTGACTGCAGTTATTCAAGGCATAATCAGATGAGTATATAGCACTGCTTAGGGCCATGAATTTAAAGGAGAACTCCGGATAAAACATTTTAATTAACCCTTGCAGTGGGGACTATCCCTTCACTGCAAGAGTTAAGTGCTCATTTTGGTCTAGGAAGGAAAATAAGTTATATGTACAAAAAAAAAACTACTTGCCCGGCGCCCGAAGCTGCATGTCCCATGCGTCGGGCGATAGGAATTTGACACCTCTGTCCTCAAAAGACTCTGGATTATTAACTCACCATAATGTCTTTTTCAATATTTTAATCTCCTTTTTTTAAACTCTTTTTATGTAGTTTTTAGTTTTGTGGTTCATTAGTTGAACTGCCGAGCAAGTTTGAAGCTTTAATTGATTTAATATTAGTCTGGGAACTTTTTTTTCTAGTGAGGTGGGTGTGTGTGTGTGGTGGTAGTAGGAATGTAAAAATCAAAAATATTGAAATTGGAACACAGTCATACTAATGTAGAAATAATTGCAAATGTATAGCTACTTGTGAACTTACAAATATTTTAATCCTTCCAGGAGCCAACAAGACCAATCCATCCAGCGCCACTTCCTGAGGCTCCTCAACCCCAACGCCTTCCTCCTGAAGCTGCTTCAACTTCTCCCCCTCAAAAACCGCATTTGAAACTTGCCAGAGTTCAAAGCCAAAATGGAATTGTTCTTTCCTGGAGTGTATTAGAAGTGGATCGTAGTTGTGCTGTAGTAGATAGCTACCACCTCTATGCTTACCATGAAGACCCATCTGCAACATCTCCTTCACAGTGGAAAAAAATTGGGGAAGTGAAAGCACTACCTCTTCCTATGGCATGCACTCTAACACAGTTTGTTTCTGGCAGCAAGTACTATTTTGCTGTTAGGGCAAAAGACATTTATGGCCGATTTGGGCCGTTTTGTGACCCGCAGTCAACAGATGTTATCTCCACCCAGAGCAGTTAATTTGGACCAGTGTCTGTACTACAATTTACCTACTTTGTTCTTTAGATTAACCTCATGCATGAACTTTGCTTTGAAGTAATTACTGGGTTGAGAGGTTTCTAGCAGATATCCAGTGTCAAAATTTCACTTACAAAGAAGTTCTAGTCTTGGGTCATTGCTTGAACTGGTCTGCAGAACATTGTACGGTTTCTCACCATTTGTTAGTATGAAATTCTAAAAATCAGTAAAGAAAAGCAAGATTAAAATGGCACAACTGGTCGTTTGAAAGATTTTAAAACTTGTACAGATAACATGGTTATAGAGGTAATGGTGAGAAACCTTGCTTTGGTATTTGGCAAGTATAGCTCTTAGACAAGACAAGTATTACAGATCAATTCAATACTTAGTCTGTTTCATATTTTTGAAGGCGAAATCAGTACTTTGTCCCTGCTGGCTGGGCTAGCTGGTGAGATTGTCCGTGAACAATGGAATTTACAAAAAAAGAACAGTCATGTCTTCTCTAGTGAA